AACTGATTATTTCTGTAGAAATCAGAAGGGATTTATTTGCCAGCCAATATTAGAATGTCATCTAGGGGCCAGCAGGTGGTGTGGTGGTTACCACATGGCCGACAGCAGTTCAAGTCCCTGTCCTGGTGGCTTGCTTTCTCACCTTCTTTCTCTGTCGAATGCAAGTGCCCTTTAGCAAAATTTTTTTTTAATTTTTTATTTATTCATTCATTTATTTTAATTTGACCAGAGAGACACAGAGAAAGAGAGGGAGAGCGAAAGTGAGAAAGCAAGCCACCACGTCCAGGACTTGAACCATGGTTGGCCATGTGGGAGTGTGAGTGCCCGCCCCCTTACCCACCCCGCCCCCTGCTGGTCCCTGCCCTTTAGCAAATTTTTTTAAATAATAAATCATCCTTTTTTGAGAACCAGCAGTTAGCGTAATGGCTATGTCGCTGGACTCCCACATGGTCGACCGCAGTTCGCGTCCCGGACCCAGTGGCTTAAAACTCACGCCGGGCGAGTGCGCGTGCATGCCCAAGATCCCGAGAGGAGAATGGAGAAGGGATTGCGGCGTGACCATCCCCCCTGGGGGGTGATTTCTCGCTTTCTGTCTCTATGTCTGTCTGTCTGGCGAGCACATGCGCCCTATAGCAAAAACCTCTCCAAAAAAAAAAAAATAATAATAAATAATCCTTTTTTAAAAGTAGAATAACGTGTAATATCGCTAGAACGTTTGTAAACCACGTTTGGATTTGCAGCCAGGGAAAAGGTTAGGAGAGGGCTTGGACAAAACACAGGAAGAAAGTGCGTTCAGTGACTAGAAGTACCCTCCTCCCACAAAGCCACAGATTTGCTAATTCCAGGACCAGCAGTTAGCATAATGGCTATGTTGCTGAACTCCCATGTAGTCAACCGCAGTTCGAGTCCCAGACCCGGTGGCTTATACTCAAGCCAAGCGCGTGTGCATGCGTGCCAAGAGGAGAATGGAGGAGAGGGGATTGCAGCGTGGCCATGCCCCCTGGGGGGTGATTTCTCCCTTCTGTCTCTGGAGTCTCTCTCTGTCTGGCAAGCTCTTGCACCCTGTAGCAAAAACCTCTCAAAAGGAAGGAAAAAAAAAAAGATTTGCTGAATTCTGCCTCATCCTCGTCCTCGTAGGAGACAGCTTTTCAAATCCACTGGGCTTTCTAGGTCACTGCTGTAAATATTATCATTACTTGCCGGTGGAAGGCTTTAAGGATTACTCTCATCTGGTGTGAAACCTGGAAGCACGATGGCTATTAGGGGTCATCTTTTTCTGTTCTACCGCATTTTATCCTGGAGGTAATAATAAACTACTGGAGCCTCAAACATAGGCGGTTAGGAAGCGAAGGAAAGAATGAACGTGAGAGACACTACGAAAGAGGCAAAACTGTGACTTGCTGTTGTGAGAAAAGGGAAGGGGAAGGAAGAGCCAGAGGCATTGGGGATCCAGGTCTATAGGACAGGGACAATGGGACACCTGCAAACTCCAGCAGACAAGATACCAGTATGGAAGGAGAGAAAGAATAATGAGTCTTGATGCTGCTAAATGCACACCCCAGCGCAGGCCCCCTCCAAGCGCAGCTCTGCTGCAAGGGATGACAACCTGCCCACTGCCTGGCAACATGGGATTCTCTTGGTGACTGTTCCAACTGCTGGGACGGCTGAACAAACCACCACCATTTATTATGCTCACAGATTCTGCAGGTTTGGAATGCAGACAGGGTGTAGCAGGGGCGGCTTGTCTCTGTTCCATGTCTGGGCTATCAATGGGGAGACTGGCATCTGAAGACTAGCTTATTCTTCCAAGTCTGGAGGGCGAGGCTGGCTGTCCAGCTTGGAGCCTCCATTCGTTTCCACCTGGGTGAATTTGGGCTCCCTCTCGGCATAGTGACTGGCTTCTCCTGAGCCAGTGTCCAACTCCCAGTTCTGGAAAAAAGTGATGTCTTGACCTAGCTTGGCAAGTCCCAAAGCATTACATCTGTGGCCCTTTTTTGGATGAGTCACCATAAATCCCACCCAGGCTCATGGGGAAGGAATAAAGCCCCCTACCTCTTGGTGGAAGAGTGTCCAAGTCTCACTGCACCACAGTCCTCCTGCCCCAGCCTCCCAGTAAACTAGACACACACGACTATGCCCACCATATTCAGGTTGACCTGGGAACTGAACTCCCCTTTCCATGTGGCTTCCAGCTTCCCAATGGGAGAGTCACTTGCACCACTGTGGCTGGGCCAGATTATATTTTTTTTAATGTGATTTAACAGTTAAGGAAGGGAAAGGAATACTGTGTTAATGGAAAGATTTCAATTGGGATTATTGCCATTTTTTTCCCCAAACTACTACTCTAACTCTTGCAAATTATGCTGTTAGCTTTTAGGGATAAATGAACTTAACTCCTCTCTTCCTGCTGCCCCTTAGCTCCTTCTGCTATCTGGTGGCCTTGTACTTGATAAGGTTCCTGCAGAAATAGCACCATCTGGTGGGCAAAGGCCTCTGTGCATCTGTTTGGCAACAGGCCAGTGACTTTCTGCCTTTTCCTGGGCAACTAGAGACATCAGCTGGGCTTAGAAACTAAGGCCAGCGGGACCAGCAGCTGTGCTGGACTCCCATGTAGTCAACCACGGTTTGAGTCCCGGACCTGGTGGCTTAAACTCTGCTGGGTGCGTGTGTGTGCGTGGTCAGGATCCCAAGAGAAGGGATTGCAGAAGGGATTGCGGTGTGGCCATACCCCCTAGAGGGTGATTTCTCACTTTCTGTCTTTCTGGTGCGCACATGTGCCCTATTGGGGCGGGGGGGGGGAATCTCGAAGGGCAAACAGAAAGTCCTGCTAGTCCAAAAACACATAAACTTCTGGCCTGGCCCCATGGCCTAGAGATTTAAAAAGCCAGATTTTACAAGGCCAAATACAGTTTGAGTTCCAATCTCAGTGGCTTGAAAAATACACCAGGTACATGTCCAAAATGCCAACAGAGTGGAAAAATAGAGAAGAGCTTGTGGCATAAATAATGCCCCACTGGGGGAGGGAGGTGCTCCCTCTCCTTTTCTCTCTCTAGCAAGTGCATGTGTCATCTGGCAATTAAGAGGAAAAAAAAAATTAGAGAATCCTCTTTGAGCTTTCACATCCAAAAAACAAACAAACAAAAAACCCCTCGGTTTTGAACCAAAATTGGAAACCAGTGACATTGTGCGGAAAAAGAACAACAAAGGTAAAGATCTGGGTAAAGATAGGAATGAAAAGAGTCACAACTTCTAAGACTTTACCCCTGGCATCTGCTGAAGATACGGAAAACATTTAGTACCTTTGTTTTCCCTCTCAGAGTTCCAGAGACTTCTGTCTGGGATCACCTCCTAGCTCAATACCCACTTTCTTGGGTATTTTTCCTTCCCATGACTGAACTAGTTTCTCTCTCAAGTTCTTCCTGTGACTCCTCCCATCACATTTAACTGTATGGACTAAGTTTCTTAGGATCTAAGAAATATTCTACTCACCTTGTTTTTCCCTTCCTTTCATATCCCATTTTTTAAAAAAGAATTATTTAATTTTATTCATTCTTTCATTTGTTTTAACTTGACCAGAGAGACACAGAGAGAGAGCACACATGAGCAAAAGCAAGCCACCAGGTTCAGGACTCGAACTGTGGTTGGCCATGTGGGAGTGTCCAGCACCTTAACCACCATGCCACCTGCCGGTCCCCTCATATCCCACTTAGTCCATCTAAATCTAACATTTCAACTTTCCCTTAGTTTCTAAGTCTATATATTCTCTGTCCTCATTAGTCATTCTTCCTTACTTTTCTAACTACTACTTTATTTTTTTAGAGATTATTTTTACTACAGGGCCCATGCGTTGGCCCGACAGACAGCAAGCAATAACTCGCTACCCAGGGGATATGGACACGCTGCAATGCCTTTTCCTCCATTCTCCTCAGGATTTGGGGCACGAAGGATCACGCACCCAGCTTGAGTTTCAAGCCGCTGGGTCCAGGACTCAGACTGCATTCGACTGCATCAGAGTCCTTCGCCTTAACCACCACGCCACCTGCTGGCCCCCCAATTACTTCTTCATTATCGTTAAGAGATATCTTTTCGAGGGCGCCAGGTTGTGCCCAGCGGAGTCATGAGAACAAGGAAGCAGCCGCCTGGTGCCAGCGGATGTCCACAGTCTATGCGGTTGGCACCTGGACACTGATGGGCTCCTGGTATTTCTTCAGCTGGAAAAAGAACAAGCGGCCAACTGATGAAGCAGAGCAGCAAGATGTCTCAACAAATGAACTGAGCCCCCGAAGGGGTTTTATGTGGAAACAATGATCACATATAGAGAAGACTTTGTTTTAGTTACTAAAAAGATCCTCACCTATCTGAAATTGTGGACTGGTGGCCCTGGTCCAGAATCATGATTGACTGCTGAATTATGAAAACCAGGACTTTGGTGTGATGTAATTTTGACAAACACTCTGATGTTCATTTTGTCTGTAAAAAGTGCATAAGTGCATACATTTAATTTCATTTTGCTGTAAAATATAATCACTAATAATATACAATAAATATTGTCTTGAAGAAACAAAAAATAGATATCTTTTCTGCCTTCTGCCTCTGAGCTATTCCAAAAAATATACTAAGTTATCCTTTTATTACTATTGGTCATTTTCTCATCATTTAAAAATTACTCTAATTTCTAAGACTTATTTAAGCTCATTTCCTTTTCTCTACTATTGTACATTTTCATAGTCCTTAGATCTCTTAATTAGCCACTAGAAGTCCAAAACTATCAACATAAAATCTTTTATATTCCCCATTCTCCCATATTTGCAAGACGATTTCCTTTTCTTATTCAAAGCACTCCTAAAATTATGCCTCTAGGATTCTTAAGATTTTTTTTGATTAATTAGGAGAATAATTACCTCCTTCAAACATTTTCTTATATACCTCAAATCTCTCTTAAGTCTTAAGTTTTTCTTTTGCGATGGCAGTATGTAGTAAAGTATATATAGGAACCTATATAAAACCATGCACAGAAGAAAATGCTTTTATTAATCACAACATGAGATTGACATAGCCTCTTATTAGAACTGAATCAGGATAAATAATGTGTTATAAAATTTACATTTCTTACATCTATTCAGAGGAAAATATTACATGTTAGGGGCTGTTCTTGATCTTATGAACTGGTTTCAGTAAAATAGTAAATAGCAATTAACATATATTCTCAAACTGTGCTAAGAAATAGTTAGCTAGGTAACTATAAAATCTATAACGATAACAACTGGAAGGATTAAGACTAGTGTTTTAATGTTTTGTTAAACATCGAAAACCTTGTCTATATTTTAGCTGTTACATCAATGCACCTTTTTCATTGGTAAGGCAACTACCTGCTGTGGGTACCACATTGAGTAGTAAGTTTCTTCTTACTTTGATTGATTAGGAATCAAATATGTTTTCTTTCCCAAATTTGCTCTCTTTAGGAGCAGAAACAAATACCTTTGTCTTCTGTATGTATATAGATAGGCAAATATGAACTGCACCTATTATAACTTCCTAAAATCACAATCAAATTCACGATTAAACTGAGGCAATGAATTATTATTAGGAATAAGTCTTTGAAATATTTCTAGTTTTTAAAATAACAAAGCTTCTGAATAATTTCTCAAAAACTCATTTTGTTATAAGACTTAATAAGCATAGCACACGGGCTCTGTATTTTAGCAATTACTTCTGTCGGCTTCACTTTGCCCTAAGGTTAGAATGATGGTTTCAAAAAACTTCTACATATAAAGCATCTTTAAATAAGTTTCATTTTCACTAAATTGAATCTTTTTTCCATTTTATGTATGTGTGGAGGTTAATTTGCACACACACATACATACTTGCATGTGTGTGTGTGTGTGTGTGTGTGTGTGTGTAGGTGTGTATGTATATTTTTAAAGTAAGTTCCTTTCACCATTAGAATAAAAGAAGATGCTACAGGGGACACTCTATAAGGAAGTCTGGTCCTTAGAAATCCTCCTCTAGGCTGAGGAAGGCAGGTACAGTTCACTGAAGGAGGTGATGAGGCTGTAGTAAGTCTTCTCGTCGTCTGTCAGCCCCGCATTGCCGGGTCTCACCACCACGGCTACATGCACGTCTGCTTCCTCAGCAGCACTGGCCTCTGTAAAAATCAAAGGATGTGTCAGAAATACTGAAATATAATGTCTGAGGACTGGTCCTAGCCCAGGTGTTAAGGTATCCAGATGCCACATGGCTGACCATGTGGTTCCAATCCAGGTCCTGGCAGTTTAAAAAACCAGATTCAATGTGTGTATGTGCCCCAAATACCAGCAGGATGGAGAAAGGGAGGAAAAGGGACCGTAGCACAACCATGCCTCACTGTGGGGGCAGGGGAGGGCCTTCTTCTTCTCTGTGTGTCTCTCTAGTGAGTGCCTATGTTCTCTGGCAATTAAAAAAAATACACAATGTCAGAGATTTATGACAAAGTCATCAGAAGGGACGTGAAAGTAGAAGAAACAAGTTTGGTTCTGATTTAGCAATTGTTGAAGCTGGAGAACTGGTACATTTTAGTTGACTATGCTAGTTTCCTTTATATATGTTTTAATTTTTCCATAATAAACATTTTTTTAAAATATGTAACTGTAGTTGACAGAACAGAGTAGAGTACCAATGGAGTCTACACTGCTCAGCTTTATTGAGAATGTATGACTAACTATGACCAATGGACCAGCAGTGTGGGAATCACCTGGAAGCTTGTTGAAAACACAGAATCGTGGGGTAGTGGTTTAAGACAGCTGGATCCTACATGACCAACTGCATGGTTCGAGTCCTGGAACTACTGACTGAAAAACATGCTGATTGACAAACACACTGGTTATTTGTTCATGCATGTCGAAAGCCCCAAAAGGAAAAATGGAGAAGGGTCTGTGGTATGACCATCTCCCATGGGGAGTGCTTTCTCACTCTCCTTTTATCTCTCTTTCACTCTCTGTCTTCTGTGTCTCTCCAGTGAGTGCATGCACCCTCTAGCAAAATAAGCAAAAACAAACAAACAGAACCTCAGGCCCCAATGCAGAATTATTCAATCAGGATCCACATTTAAGAAAGAATTCTTCTGCACAGAGGGTTAAGTTTTGATCAAAAATTTCAAAGAAAGAAAACCTACAGGGTGGAGGAATTCCCGGCGGAGACAAAACACATGTGTGAACCCTGGAGGAATAGAGCAAGAGAGTGGGAAAAGATGACACGGGGGTGGTAAGTCAGAGGGGACTGCATGCTTTGGAAAACCAGACTGTATGCTATAAATATGTACAATGATTAAATGTAAATAAGAAATCATAAAATAAAAACAAAATTAGATGGTAAACTTAAAAAAAAACGGGCTTGCTTGGACAGATAAGCAACAATGGTGAAAAATGTGGAGTAGTTTCATAGGATTTACATGTAGCATAATAAGATGTTTTAGTAATTTCTCAGCTTTGAAAAGAGTCGCAGTGCCTGAAAGGATTCACTAAAAGGTAGCCATGCTGAGAGAGATAAGAAGTTCCTGGAAAGACTCAATGGGTTTGATGTGTCTCTTCTACCTCGCCACCCCCTCCAGTGTCTAGCTTCTGTTCTTCCAGTGAACTGGCCTGTGACACACCGGAAGACTCCCTTCGTGTGGGGGTGCCTTTGGCAGGGAAGCTCTACGGATGCCATTCACTGCAGTGGAAGACGCAGCAACTTCCGCTCACTCCTGGTGCCTTCTACTACCCCATAGCCTGCCTGCCTGAAGCAACGCTTTTACCTGGCTGGCAACCCAGGGTGTTGACCAAGCTGAGCCATCACAATCCACGTGGGACTTGACGCTAGGTGGTAGTGTTCCACATTCTTACCTAGATCATCATGATGCAAGTTTGTCCCTAAGCATCTGTCTGCTCTATTAGCATCACAGTCAGACATTTAACTAATACTTCTTGACTTAAAACCTTTGATCCTTTCCCTTTACTTTCATACTTGGGTATTATTTGTGTATCAACATGGTCTTCTACTCCACAACGAAAGTAGGAGACTGGGCACAGGTACCAAAACCTGGGACTAGATGTGACAGAGAAGAGCAGGGCGGGCAGGCAGCGACTTGGCTTCATCTGCTGCAGACAACCCAAGTTCTGGCCCTCCTGCCTAAGGTGGTGGGGCTGGCAGAAGACAGGCACGGAAATAAAACTTAAGTCAGAGACAGCCAATTTCATTTTGAGGCCAACCTGGGGCTTATCTCTAGTCTCTAAAAATAGGAATAATTTCTAGAACAGCAAACTAAGGAAATGGCTTAAATGAAAAGACAAAGACCTTACATTACACATCACTATGAAGGCAACTACAAAAAACATGGCTAAAGATGAGAATATAAAGAACATTAAGTGGTCTTAAAGTAGGAATTTTAATTATGAATATAACCAAAAAGCTGGGACTACAGCCAGGATCTGGGGATCACAAGTTGAACTATAGACTCGATCCCGGAACTGGCTGACTTCGTGAGGGGCTCTATCCACAAAGCAGAGCCTTCATTCTAAATCTACAAATACTTGCCATCCGAAGTGCTAAGGGAACTGCATACAGGGCGAACTACAGACTTTCATGGCTAACAGCTCCCTGCATGTGAACAGTAAAAGAAAAGCAGTTCAGATTAAACCAGTTAAACTCACTGGAATAAGCCTAATTCTTTCCCTGAGGAGAAGAACATAGGAGAAGCCTTCAAGTTATCATTCTTCACAGAAACTGCTGACATCCCCTACCCTACATTGACAATAAAGCAACCTCCCCTCTCTACCACTCTAAGCCCTCCAAAGTCACTCAAGGGTATATTAGAGCTTAGAATCAGTAACAGGTTCCTACAGAAACAGGACAGACAAACACATTCAGATCATTCCTAGCTCAGAGTGGAGGCCAGGTAAATGCCTGTGTGGAGGGCAATGCTCACTGACATCCCAAGTGCATGTCACATGGCCTGGCCACCTAGTTACACAATGAGACTGGAAGCTGTGTGTCTGTGCAGCTCCTTCTCCTGCAGAACAACCAGACATGTGAATATAAAGCTTACCAGGAAGTAGGGAAAATGAGCTGACAACTTGTAGAAAACTTAGATTTTAAAGCTGACCCGGGCCAGGAAATACAGGACAGGGGCTGATTCTCACTAAATCTGCCAAATTTTCAAATCTCAAGGAAAAAAAAAATGACTGTGAATCGGTACCATTTACCTAGATCAAAAATTCCAGTGTACGGGACCAGCGGATAGTACGATGGTTACATCAGGGGACTCCCACTAAGTCGACCGCAATTCAAGTCCCAGACCTGGAGGCTTAAAACTCACGCTAGGCCAGGCGTTTGTGCGTGTCCAAAATCCCAAGAGAAGGGAGAAGGGTTTGTGACATGGCTATCCCCTCTGGAGGGTGATTTCTTGCTTTTCTCTCTCTGGCAAGCTCAGTTAGTGTAATGGCTATGTCGCTGGACTCCCACGTAGTCGACCATGGTTCGAGTCCGGGACCCGGTGGCTTAAACTCACGCCGGCCATGTGTGTGTGCGTGCCCAAGATCCTGAGAGGAGAATGGAGGAGAAGGGATTGCAGCGTGGCCATCCCCCCTCAGGGGTAATTTCTCGCTTTCTATCTTTCTCTGGCGAGCGCACACACCCTATAATAAAAACCCCTCCAAAAAAAAAAAAAAAAAAAATCAGTCTGTATTTACCAAGGACTGAAGTTTAACAAAGATATTAAAAGTATGTTAACAATTACTAAATGTCTACTGTGTATCAGATAAAATTAAGCATGTGTTACCTCCATTTCACTGGAAAAAGTAATTAAAACTTTTTTTTCTTTTTAGTTTTTGCTATAGTGTATGTGCACTTGTCAGAAAGAGACAGAGAGAGAGAGAGGGAGTGAGAAATCACCCTTTAGGAGGACTGGCTACACCATAATCCCTTCTCCTCTTGGGATTTTGGTGCCCATGTGATTTCAAGCTGCTGGGTCTGGGACTTGAACCACAGAGTAGGCCATGTTCCATCAGCACCTAAACCTTCACACCCTCTACTGGCCCTGTTATAACTTCTCAAGGCATTAAGATGATCTACACTGGTTATTTATTTATTTTTTTAAATTTAAGATTTTTGCCACAGGGCATGTGTACTCAACAGAGAGACAGCGACAGAGAATTCTCTCTCCAGGGGGATGGCCATGCCACAATCCCCTCTCCTTCATTCTCCTCTCAGGATTTTGGGCATGCACACACAGGCACTCGAGGTGCTTTCCAAGCCTCCAAGTCCAGGACTCAAACGTGGAGTCAGCCATATGGAATCCAGCACCTTAACTACCATGCCACCTGCTGGCCCTTTGCTGCTTAAGATTAAAACAAACAAACAAACAACACTTAGCAAATTAGTTACCTCTTTACATTCTATAACATTTGCCTATCATAACAGACCAAAAGCCTAAAGGGTAGCATTAGAGAAAGAACATAGGTCATACATACACACCACGTCAGGTAAGACACCTTTACCAGCAGCCTGGGTTTTCCTTTGGGATCATCTCAAATTCCCAGGGAATCAGTGACAACAGAAAGGAGTTGGAGAGAGGAATCACAGCAACAGACTGCTGAAGCTGCCTCGAAGAGCCCCAGGAGTCACATGGAGCCCACAAGGCAGGATCCCCTCCACCTCTTTTCCTAATCCTCCCCCCCTCCCTAATCCTCTTCCCTAGCCTGCTGTCACAGACACGATTTGTCCAGAGCAGCTGCATGGTACAGAAAGCCCTGTTCTGAGGGTAAATGGATCATGTGATCTCAGTCCCAGAGAAACTTACAATCCAAGGTAGAACGGAAGAAACAAAAATATGTATAACTACCCTCGAATGCAAGTGAAATGATAAACACACCAAAAATAGAGAGATACACACTCTGCAGAGAATAACCATGCTACTGAAAGCTGGACCCAGATGGGGGAGTTTGGGAAAGCCTCACCAAACCGGGGCTTTGATACTTTCCCCCGCACCCTCCACCTCTTTGCCTACTGCTTCTTTCCTTAAAAAATAATAATAATAATAATAAATTTTTAAAAATATATATGTATATATATATATAGAGAGAAAGACAGCTTTTATGTAGAGTTTATATAGAGAGAATTTATATATATAGAGAGAGCATAGACACACACACACATATATATGTGTATATATATATATACAGATTTTATATAGTTTATATATAGAGAGAGAATTTATATAGAGAGAGAGCATACACACACACACACATAGAGAGAGAGAGAGAGTGTATCTATATATAGTTATTTATTTCTTCCATGACTGAGAAAGTGGAAGACAGCTGCAGCACCTCCAGCAGGGTCCTGATGCCATAGTCCACCCCCAGCTTCAGCAAGCTTGGATGGTGGGTGCACACTTGCCTGGCAAACTGAGGGAGGTCTCTAGACACAAACTGGCAGCCTTCCCAGGTGGGTCTGCCTTGCAGGCCATCGTGTGTTGTAGCCGTCCAGCCCCCTGTGTGCTAGTTCTTGTTTCCCCATTCACTACCTTTTCCTTTGTGATTCTCTAGAGGACTCACACTCTTACAGATACCAGAGTATGTTGTTTCCATTTTTTCAAAACTACTCTTGAAGTCATCTATATTGCCAGTAAAGAACAGGACGATCATTGCTCCCTGACTTACAGTGAATGGGGTTATGTCCCAGCCAACCCATAGTAATTTCAAACCATCCTAAGTGGAAAATGCTTTGAATACACCTAATCTACCAAACATCACAGCCTAGCCTAGCCTACCTAAAATGAGCTCAGTATACTTCCACCAGCCAACAGATGGGCACAATCAGCTAACACAAAGCCTATTTTTACAACAAAGTGTCAAATACTATGCACAGGTGGCCATTCTGTGATGAGACATAGAAACACAACACATAATATCCAGAAAACACTACCAGCACAGTACACAATATCCAAAAAACACCACCAGCACAGAGGTACTCGTTAGCTACCCTCATGATCACGTGGCTGATTGGAAACTGTGGCCTGCTATCACTGCCCGGCATCACAGGAGAACGTCATACGACTGTCACTAGCCTAGGACAAGGTCAAACTTCAAAATTCGAAGTATGGTTTCTACTGAATGTGTATCACTTTCACGCCAACATACAGTCAAAAAATCGTAAGTCAAAACAGCGTAAGTGGGAACCAGCAGTTAGCGTAATGGCTATGTCGCTGGACTCCCACGTAGTCGACCGCGGTTCGCGTCTCGGACCCGGTGGCTTAAATCTCACGCCGGGCGCGTGTGCGTGCGTGCCCAAGATCCCGAGAGGAGAATGGAGGAGAAGGGATTGCGGCGTGACCATCCCCCCTGGGGGGTGATTTCTCGCTTTCTGTCTCTATGTCTCTCTCTGTCTGGCGAGCGCACGCGCCCTATAGAGAAAACCTCTCCAAAAAAAAAAAAAAAACAGTGTAAGTCAGGGACCATTTGTACACTGTTTCACGCATTCAATCTTTTAAAGTAATAATGCGTATGGTGATGTACCACATAAATTAAAGATTATGCTGGAGAAAAAAAACTACACATATCTTTAAACCAGTGAATCAGTGAATCATCATGTACAATGAAGTCTAAAATTCACAACTTGAGAGGTGCTTGAGGAATAGAGACTATCTGAGGGAAGGCAGAGAGGAGGCTCCCACTCACCACAGGACATGCTCCCAACTGGAATGACAGGCAAAATTGCTTAAAATACTTACAGTTTTCGTTTTTTTTTTTTAATTAATTTATTGGGACCAGCAGTTAGAGTAATGGCTATGTTGCTGGACTCCCAACGTAGTTGACTGAGGTTCGAGTCCTGGACCTGGTGGCTTAAACGAACACCGGGCGCGTGTGCGTGCGTGCCCAAGATCCCGAGAGGAGAAGGGAGAAAGGATTGCGGCGTGGCCATCCCCCCTGGGGGGGTGATTTCTCGCTTTCTATCTCTCTGTCTGTCTGGTGAGCGCACACGCCCTATAGCAAAAACCTCTCCAAAAAAAAGAAAAAAAAAATTTATTTATTCATTCATTTATTTTCATTTGACCAGAGAAAGACAGACACAGAGAGGGAAAGTGAGAAAGCAAGCCACCAGGTCCAGGACTCAGATTGTGGTCGGCCATGTGGGAATATCCAGCACTTTAACCACCACGCCACCTGCTGGTCCCGTATAGTTCTCTTTTTAACAAATAATAAGTATGTGGTGAGTGTGTATAGCTTATCTCGCTGCTGTTAAATGCACTTGGTGCAGGTCCGCTGTGACTTTCTTACCCTAACTGTTCTCCTGCCTGCACACTCCTTTCCCCAGCGACAGCCCTGAGATGTGGGAATATCCAGCACTTTAACCACCACGCCACCTGCTGGTCCCGTATAGTTCTCTTTTTAACAAATAATAAGTATGTGGTGAGTGTGTATAGCTTATCTCGCTGCTGTTAAATGCACTTGGTGCAGGTCCGCTGTGACTTTCTTACCCTAACTGTTCTCCTGCCTGCACACTCCTTTCCCCAGCGACAGCCCTGAGTCTTCCTTCATTCCTGTCCTTTGCCATGAGTGTGTATATGTGTGCACAGCCCTGGGGGGCAACCGCTGATAAGGAGTTAAAATGAGAAGAATGAGTCTTTCCAATGCCACTTCTCTACACACAATCCCCAAGGACTGGTAAATGGAAAAGGAGATGAATCACTGGCTTACTGTTTCATATTTTTAAAATGTATTATGGTTATTATTATTTTGTTTGCTATAGGGCGTCCATGCTCACCAGAGAGAGACAGAGAAAGAGGAGAAATGAGAAAGCAAGTCACCAGTTCTGGGATTCGAACCATGCTTAGCCATATGAGAATCCCGCCCCGTAACCACCATGCCACCTACTGGAGCCTCACTGTTCCTTTTTATAAAATTTTATTTTTCAAGGATCTCCACATAAACTCTGTTCTTCTAGGGTGTGTGTGTCTGTGTGTGTGTGTGTGTGTGTGTGTATGTGTGTGTGGTTTTTTGCCATAAGGCACATGCTCTTGTTGGAGAAAGACAGAAGGAAAATGAGAAGTCACTCCTGAGGTCAATGGCCATACTCAATCCCTTCTGTGCCACTCTCCTCTTGGGATTTTGAGCAGACACGTGTGCCTGGTGTAATTTTCAGGCTGCCAGGTCCGAGACGCAAACTGCTGTCAGCCATGTGGGAATTCAGCACTTCAACCACCACACCCCCTGCTGGCCCCCATAAACTTTATTTAGAGAGGCAACATGTTTGTGTTTGGTGTGGCTCCTACCTTAGAATATATAAGGCTGATTACTCACCTAAGGTAACATCTGTCAGAAACAAGATGTTGTTGGGCGAGCACCCAATGCTGTCTGCGATCTTTCGGTAACTCTCACTCTCCACTTTGTGCCCAATCTTGGTATCAAAGTGACCATCAATAAGCTGAGCAAACAGAAAAGGAAAGATTGGCGATAAAAAGACACTTGCAATACAGACTGTCTCACATCTCCCTTGTCTGAAACACATGACAATCACAGTGACTTCATTTGTTCAATAAACATTTACTAAAGATCTACCTAGCAGAGAACTTTAGAGACTATAAAAAGTTAAATATAAAGATTTTATAGCAATACACATTTGAAAGCAAACTACCAGCTCGAAATACATAAGATCATTTTATAATCTACTTGGTTGTTACTAACATTAATTTTATATCCTGAATCATTTAAGAAAAATATAGATCCCACCTTTCTATCCTTAAAACACTATTTGCAAATGGCGTAATGGTCACATCACTGGATTCCCATGTAGTCAACCGCGGTTCCAGTCTCAGACCCAGCAGCTTAAACTCATGCCAGGCGCATATATGTGTGCACCCCAAATACTGAGAGGAGAATGGAGGGATTGCAGCATGGCCATCCTCCCTGGGGGGAGGGTGATTTCTCACTTTCCATCTCTCTGTCTCCCTGGCGAGTGCACGTGCCCTATAGCAAAAATCTCTCTTAAAAAAAAAAAAAGAAAAAAAAGATACTATTTACACTCAAACCACCAATAGATAGTGTCACTCCTAATGAAAAGTTCTCAACATTGTCCTTCTAATCCCAGAATAAGCACATTTCTCTAACATGGCTCATTAATAAGTTGCTACTTTACTTTCAAAATACTTTTATTTCCTAATTAAAATATTTTGAACTTCTATCCAAGAACTAGCTCTCCACAATTAACTAGAATAAAATGTGTAACTAGTGAATTTATTTATTTTTAATTTTTAAAAGAATTATTTAATTTTTAAATTATTATTATTTTTTTTTAATTTGCTATCAGCCATGCGTGTTCACCAGAGAGAAGAGGGTGGTTGAGAAAGTAAGCCACCATGTCCGGGGCTCAAACCATGGTTGCTCATGTGGGAGACCAGCACCTTAATCACCATGCCACCTGCTGGCCCTATAACTAGCTAATTTAAACAACAGTAATTAAAATAAGTAAGCATTTAGGATCAGTTAGTATGAAGTCATCTTTTGAATCTTTTCATAACTTTTCATAAATTAAAAACAAGCCTAACAAAGAAAGAGCAATATTAATATATATTTTTTTACTTTGAAAAGATTGATTTTACATATTTTCTTTCCCCTTCAGTTTGTCTCACTTGGTAACTGGACAATAAAATTTTTATGCTTACATTCAGTAATTATTGTATCCTGTCTATCATCTTATTCTGTTTCATCAGGGAGAACAAAATGTTTATATCTTTATTCAGGAAAATCACCAATAATTAAGTTGTTTCAATACTGGTTTAATGTTTGATTTAGAAATAAGATGAAAATCACATCAGTACTAAAATTAGGATATAATGACCTGTAAAGCCAAAGTGTTCTCTGTACATGGAAGGAACTCAATAATATTTCTTTTAAAAAAATGAGTCGTCGGGAACCAGCAGTTAGCGTAATGGCTATCTTGCTGGACTCCCACGTGGTCGGCCGCGGTTTGCGTCCCGGACCTGGTGGCTTAAAACTCACGCTGGGCACGTGTGCGTGCATGCCCAAGATCCTGAGAGGAGAATGGAGAAGGGATTGCAGCGTGGCCATCCCCTCTGGGAGGTGATTTCTCGCTTTCTGTCTCTATGTCTCTCTCTGTCTGTCTGGTAAGCGCACGCACCCTATAGCGAAAACCTCTCCAAAAAAAATGAGTCGTCCTGGGCAGACAGGTAGCATGTTGGTTAAGGTGGCTGGATCCCACATAGCTAACTGGCTGGCTGACTCCCAGACAGAGCAGCTTGGAAAGTATGCCAGGCACATATACCTGCCCAAAATCCAAGAGGAGAATATAGGAGAAAGGATTGTGGACTGGCCATTCCTCCCCCAGGGGTGTGTTGGGGGGTGATTTCTCACTTACTCTTTGTCACTCTCTGTCTCTCTGTCTCTCTCTCTCTCTGTCAGTCTCCAGTGAGTACACATGCCCTATAGCAAAAAAATAAAAGAATAAAAACAAAAAAAAAAGCCAAAGGGGGACAGCAGATGGCATGGTGGTTGGAGCACTGAACTCCCATGTGGCCAGCCACGGTTCAAGTCCTGGAGCTGGCGGGTTGCTTTCTTTCCCTTTCTCTCTGTCTATGGTCAAATTAAAAAATAAATAATAATAACAACACATAAAATTAAATAAATAATGCTTAAAAAAAAAATGGTCCACCAAGATACCTAATGTATATCACCAAATTCTGCCTGTATTTTGTTAGTACTTTTTTCTAAATGCAGTCCTTGCTTCCAATGACTACTCTGTCCTCCAGGGGGCGCAGGAAGATGACACAGGAGCTAACAAACATCTTCATGTACAAGAGATAAAATAGGTGACCCTAACTTATCATTCAGTTTAATAATGTGTCCAGTTCTCTTATACAATAATGCTACTTGTATCTCTCCAGAGTACCTGTGACAAGTGAACCCACTATATGTTCTGCAGCACTCAAGGAATCTTTATATATTTTTTAGGACTCCACAATATTTTGCATTTTAACTGATTTTTTTTTTTCAAGACACTGAGTAAACTATATTTAACAACTTTATATAAGAACCTATAAATACACTGGGTTATCAGAAAAGTCCTAACACATTTTTGCATAGCAAAACATAGACCAAAACATTATTACAACTTTTCCAACAATTCAATAATAAAGTGATTGTTTTCTTCCCTGATTGTAAGCAACTGAAAGAAGAATTCCATTAGTTTCCTTTGGGTTGCTGATTTTCTACCATTGGCAAAATAAGTGATAGCAAAGCTAGCTCCTGGGCTAGCAGGTGCATATGTATCTGTATATACATGGATCCAAAGTAAAGAGGTGGTCCTAGCACTACCCTCAGCAGAATCACCGAGTATGGCTTGGAATTCTAACCCTGCATCCCAGATCTGCTGATTCAGATTGGCTTAGAATTAGCACCCAAGAATGACAATTTTTTTTTAGACAGGGTCCCACTGTGTCCCAATCTTCCTGCCTCAGCCTCCTAATTAGCTGGTACCACAGGTATATTCCACAGAGCCCAGCTTTTAGGGTGGGCTGGGAAACCCAGGCCTCCCACATGGCTTTAGCCTGTGGAAAGTAGCATTTTACCAGCACAGATACTGTGGCTGAGCCCTGGGATCTATATTTTTAACAGGCTCCCAAAGTGATCTTCATGTGTAACAAAGTTTAAGAACCTCTGGCAAGTGGTGTGGTGGTTAAGGATGCTGGACTCCCACATGGCTGAACATGGTTTGAGTCCCAGACCTTATGACTTGCTTTCTCACTCATCATCCGCCCCTTGCTCTGTCCCTCTCCAGTCAAATTAAAATAAATAAATAAATAAATTGAAATAAAGTAATTATTAAAAAAAAAAAGAACCTCTGATCCAAAAACTGGTACCACAGAAAACATTTCACCCTTTTCTATATTGTTTTCCTCTTTCTTTAGAACCTGCGATTATAAATGCAATTACCTGAATGATTTGACTTATAACCAGCCATTGTACATTTCTTTAACATTCATTATTTCATGCTCCGATACTGTTTTTTTAAAAAAAAGAGGAAACCAAGTAACCTACGTCAAGAATATCTCCCTCTGTAGAATGTCCAAATAACAGTTTCTGGGCTTCCACACTCCCTGAGGAATAGATATACACCTTCATTCCAGCCTCTCTCCACTTCCTGACTGCTGGAACTACATCTGCAAAGAACCTGGAGGAAAAACCACCAAGTTAATGTGCAAGAACACATCAAATGGCCAGATGAAAACCAGTCAAGACAGGTGCCACGCATTTCTCTATTGGTGCCCACACTGTGACGTGAGAAACAGCTCTAGGGGACTATGCATTCTTACAGTTCTCATAAACATGTTGCCAGAGTTCTGGGATCACAACGAATTAGAAGCAACAAGTTAGTGGATAGGACAGTTCATTTTTTAATTGGTTAGAGGGTGCATGCACTCACTGGAGATTCACGAAGAGAGAAAGAGAAAGTGAGGAAGTGCCCCCCCATGGAGATGGTCATGCTGCAAACCCTTCTCCTCCTTTATCTTTCTGTGATTTGGGGCATGCATGCACACCCCCAGTGTGTTCCTCAAGCTGCCGGGTCTGGAACTTGAACTGCACGGTTGGCCACATGGAGTCCAGTCATCTTAACTCACTCACCACTGGCTAGCTGAGAATAGTTTTCGATAGCCATTTTAATGTCATTCAAGAGGAAAAACAGATAAAGGGGTGAAGTGAAAAAGTGATTTTTAAAATTCTGGAGCAACTCAAAAAAGCAAAGAGCACTAATATTACACTAGTACATAATCCTTGATATAATTCATGACCAAAACAAGGTTATGTTACATCAAGTTGTGCTTTAAGAAAGTCCAGAAGTGCTTTTAGGAAGACCTGCACCCAAGGCTAGCCCTGAAGTATAGCCATTAAGGACTGTGTGGAAGGAGCCAGATCCGACATGGTCAATAGTGGGTTCAACGCCCAACCTCAGCGGTTTAAAAAGCACTAGTGTGGGAGCCGGCAGGTGGTGTGATGGCTAAGGGCACTGACTCCCACATGGCTGATTGCGGTTCGAGTCTGGTGGCTTCCTTTCTCACCTTCTCTCTCTCTCTGTTCCTCTCTGGTCAAATATAAATAAATAAATAAATAATTCTTCAAAAAAATAAAATGCAAATTGCTGTGTGCCCAGGATCCTAATGAGAGGGACAAATGGAAGAAAAAAGATTGCAGCATGACCAGGTCCCACGGGGAGCACTTTCTCTGTGTACCCTCTGGCATTTAAAAAAAAAAAAAAGGAAGGAAGGAAGGAAGGAAGGATAAAAGAAAGAAAAAGAAAAAATCTGTACCCAAAATGATTAAAAGGAAAAAAAGTTTGGAGGACCAAGGGTATAAAGCTTTGGTTAACTAAAAAACAGAACCACATTTCTTGAGAAATAAAAGAGCCTGAAGTTTTAGCACACAGAAAAAAAAAAAATGATGTAACAAACCAGTTAAGCAACTTGTACCACTCTACATTAGCCAACTGTCCAACAGTATCTGGTTTTCTGATTCCTGACACGCAGTCTCTTTTACCATTTCTAGGGTGTCTTCTGAAGTCACTGGAGAAAATAACATGACCGGAGGCGGGTCAAGAGAGAAGACTAAGAAATTTTGGTTGTGGAACTGATCACCTTTCCAAGATTCACTGGAAAACACCAGAGAAATCTTCCACTGAATAAAACACCAATGAAGGAAAGAGATCGACATATTCAAAGCCAGTACATACAATCCTGAGTGTGTAACTGTGTTCATTTGCATTCATCCCCAGAATTGTTCCACAGTGAATCTACATAGATCGTAACTGTTTCAAAGCGATGCTGTAGAATGTAAAGATCACTTCGTCCAAGTCCCTTGTCTTATCATTCCAAAACTAGGACTAAGGAAAGTAAGGGCTAACTACCAGGAAGGCGCAGTCTCCTAATTCTACTCCTGAGAAGCCTTTACAGCATGAAATAGCTGGTGCTCCACAATCACTGGCATATCCTGACATTCCTTTTTTTAACGATAATTTTATTTAACTTTATTTTAATTTGACCAGAGACAGTGAGAGAGAGAAAGAGAGTGAGAGAGATAGAGGGGGGAGAGAGAGAGAGGGAAAGCAAGACACCAGGTCTGGGGCTTGAACTGCAGTCAACCACGTGGGAATTCAGTGCCCTGAGCCACCATACCACCTGCCACCCGCCATATCCTGAGATTCTAAAGCACCCTTCAAAAGAAAGATGCTCCTTGTAAAGTATATAAATAAAGGAATGGCATCTCATTTGACAGAAATTTTTTTTTTTTTTTTTTGGAGAGGCTTTTGCTATGGAGCATGTGCGCTCACCAGAAAGACAGAAAGAGACAGAGAGACAGAAAGTGAGAAATCACCTCCCTGGGGGGAATGGCCAAGCCTCAATCCCTTCTCCTCCATTCTCCTTCTGGGACCTTGGGCATGCACGCACATGAACCCAATGTTTTTAAGCTACCGGGTCCAGGACTCAAACTACAGTTGTCTACATGGGAGTCCAGCGACAGTCATTACGCCAAAAGCTGGCCCCGTGACAGAAATTCTTACAAAAGAAAAACAGGCAGCTGGAAAAGGTCTTGGACACCAGGGCTTACATCAAGCATAAGCCTAAAATCCTTGTGGCAATGTCCATTTAAGAATTTCTCAGCAATATGAAACTTATGAGTCTCCGTAAGCAACCAAGCCATCAGGAATTGCAAAGCCAAGATTCAGAGGATATGTGGAAGTTGTTCAAAAGAGCACAGAAGAAAGCAACAGTACTGACACCTCCCCCCCACCGAGTAACACTAAAGTGATGGGGTGTATAATTTCCTAGCACTTTCATTTCTCCAACAGAGCAAAAAAGTAGGTAATTTAATGGTTCTGGGAAACAGCTCAACTGTGCTAAGGATCAAATATGACTTAGTTTGAGGAAATTACTATTTTCTATCAATAGAAAGCCAGCTCTAGAAGTTCCAAACATCCCACAAAGTCAGACATGCAGGTCTGGGGCTGCACTTAGCTTTAGCGAAATGCTTTAGTTCAGTTTTGAAAAAACAAACCAATGTATTTGCTAGAATAAAAAGAATGCTGATTTACTCTTTTGTACTAACTGTGCAACTTACACTGAAAAGCGGACTAATGAAAAGCATATTTGGATTGAGGCTGGTGAAAGCTACATACTCTGCTTTCATGCGCCCCGCGGTGAACGCAGCCCTCCACATGTGGCCCTGCAGCTGCTTGAGCGCCGTGGTCTTTCGGTCCAGGGACATCTGCCAGCACACGTTATCTACCACAGCTTGGATCACCTGCAGGTCATCCGCGCCATTCCCACATGCCGCAGGGATCGGAACAGCCCCATCCAGGTGAGCATCCTCTTCAGCCTTTAAGTCAGAAACAATATTTAATTTCTTTTTTGCACATTTTTTTAAAAGAGAATTTAAAATGAGACCCCCTTGAGGCCTACAGGTGGCATGGTGGCTAAGGTGCTGGAACCCACATGGCCACCTCTACAGTTTGAATCCCAGACCTGGCAGCCTGAAAAACACACTGGATGTATGTATATGTGCACCCAAAATCCTGAGGGGAGAGTGGAGGAAAAGGGATTGCAATGTGGCCATCCCCACTGGAAGGTGATCTCTTACTTTCTCCTTCTGTCTCACTCTGGTGAGCACACATACCCTATGGCTAAATAAACAAATACATAATAAATACATAATATGAGACACACACACCTCCAAATCCAAGCAGACCAGCTCTCACCAACTATCATTAGCCCTAGCACTGTTACAAATAATTCTTAAAAGAATAATTCCTGAGGCTGGCAGGTGGGGTAGTGGTTAAGGGGCTAGACTCCCACGTGGTCGATCGTGGTTCAAGTCCTTGACCTGGTAGCTTGAAATTCACACTGTATGCGTGTGTATGCATGCCCAAAATCCCAAGAGGAGAATGGAGGAGAAGGGACAATAGTGTGGCCATTACCCTTGAAGAGCGATTTCTTGTTTTCTGTCTCTATCTCTATCCTTTTGGCAAGTTCATGTGCTCCTTAGCAAAAATCTCTCAAAAAAATCAATAAAATATTTCCGAAAATAAATTGGATTGTAATGAATAAATTCACATTATTTTTCCTAGATTGCTGAGGCAAAATTTAATCTAAGAGGGACATTGTATGTGAAGAGTGAGACCAATGATATAAGACCGAATGTGTTGATTCACTCACTTATTAGGATCAACAAACCAGGACTTTGATCAAATCTGATTTTCTTTGCACTATAACTAATCGAAGAAACAGAAAATGTCAAAAATGAGTCTATACAAGGACTTCAATAAATAGAAACTAACAAACTAATGGAACTGGTTCATAGTCTCCTACAACCTCCCACATCTTACAAGAACTTCACAATCATTTAGAACATCAACTTTGTGACAATGCAAGCCAATCTGTAAAGATATACACATAAATGTGCATGTGTGTGTATGTGCGTGTGTGTGCATGTGTGTGTGGCATGTATTTATTTACTATTGGGTTCTTGGAAGTCATGACGTATTTTTTCTATGCAAAAATGCATCATGACTTCCAACAACCCAATATAATGGGAAAACACACACACATACACACAGGTTTTGACAAAGGTTAAGATAACAAAAAAGGTAAGGGGAGGGGTGTATTTCAGATTAACCCTGAGTTAAGCAGAAAATTCAACCACCCCAAATACTCCATGATTCAAAGATATGATTATGTTTCCAATCTTAACACTTTACTCGTAAGAAATTTACAGAGAGCATTCTACAATAACCAGTATGGAAAACAACGGCTACTAAGTGCTCTATGGCACAGTGGTAAGGCACCATTCAAGAGGAGCCTGATCTTACATGGCAACTGTGATTTAAGTCACTGGTTGGGCAGCCTGAAACACACAGGGCACACATGCAAGTGCCCAGGATCCAACAGGCAGGAAGACTGCAGAGAGGCAATCACAGCATGGCCACACCTCATCTCTCCCACATGTGCATACATGCATTCGATCAGAAAAAGAAAAAACGGCTGCTACTGAGTTCGCTCTGCACAAGTGTAAGGGCTTTGCCACTGCAGCAGTTTTAATAAGAAAAACAACAGATTAGGAGCTCCATAGCACACAAGAAAACCAAAGGCTAGTGGTGGGGCAAGAGTACGGAGTAGGGAGAAGGGGACAGAGCAAAGCACATGAGACCAAGGTAGGTATGAAGGCCAGGCCAAAGATAAAATGGAGAGGTCTAGAGCAAGAATGTGGGTACGAAGACCCCTGGGCACTGTAGAGGGTGCAGCAGGAGCTCATGTCATGAACCAGGAAGAGAGGAAAATGATGAGGCGCTGTCATTGGAGATATTAAAGAGAAGTATAATAAGACTGCAGAAAACCTTTTGCATTCCACCCATAGGGGGCTAAGTTTTATAAAAACATGGTTTTTTTTGGGAACCAGCAGTTAGCGTAATGGCTATGTCGCTGGACTCTCACGTAGTCGACCGCGGTTCACCTCCCAGACCCGGTGGCTTAAAACTCATGCCGGGCGCGTGTGCGTGTGTGCCCAAGATCCCGAGAGGAGAATGGAGGAGAAGGGATTGTGGCGTGACCATCCCCCCTGGGGGGTGATTTCTCGCTTTCTGTCTCTATGTCTGTCTGTCTGTCTGGCGAGCGAACCCCCCCTATAGCAAAAATCTCTCCAAAAAAAAAAAAAAAACCATGGTATTTTTATGCAATTTAATTAGCTTGAAAGAGGCAATTTTAGAGACAACAAACTGTCATGATCTGGCGTTTTAATTATATACTGTGAATTCCTGAGCAGGCCAGTCACTGCAGCTCCCATCCCCTATGAATCTGGGGCACACACTTGACAATAGGCTCAGAGCACAGTCGAAGTCTCTAGGCATCTTTTCTGTTCTAAGACACTCAGGAATGTGGAAGAGAAATGTCCCGACCTGTTTCCTCAAAAGATAGACATCCTGCTGGCACTCCTCTTCTCCCCAATGTGTCTGCAGGTACTCCTTAACGTTTTCTTTGATGTAAGGAAATAAAATGTCCTGGATGAAAGAATAAAAACACAAAAAACACGTTAGCTGTTGCCAGTGGCACAAGCTCCAGTTCTACAGTCTCACCTTAGCTAACTGTAACAAAGCAGTGGAACTCTTTTGAAAACTGTTGCTGTGGATATATGAGCCAGACAGAGAGATTAAGTACATGAGTCTGAACTGATGAAACAGCATTCTCTGACTTGACTAAGATACTGCTGCTTTTCTTCTAAGCTTTGTTGTCTGGTTTTAAGGATTTTTATCCTATCTTGAGCTGTCAATAGATTCATGTACCAACTATTTGAACAAAATACCAACCTGTTTCTAGGCTTCAAATTTCAAGGAAATAACCTTACCAGTTCAAAACTGCCTTTCTTGAAACCACCAGCTGAACTTGCTATTGAAAGTAGTTAGATTACTTATGATATGGTGTGGTGAACAAAATGTTGGGGGAAAAGGAACTGAAGACAACTGTAGACAGCAGAAATAGTGTAACAAGAGAGTGAAATAGGGCAGAAGGTCAAACATGGGGTAAAAAACATATATATATGAAAGTAGTAATGGAATTTTATGGATGATAACATGCATGATTAAGCCACTATGCAGTTTAGAGGGGAAACCACATTTAGTATGTTGTGATGATGCTCAGAGAATGAATGTAAATTAAAAAAAAAAAAAAATCAGAGAAAAAAATACTAAAACTGTTACCACAGTTTAAAGAAAAAACTGTGTATTTGATGACCACAGTAAGCTATATAGCCCCACCTAGGTACTATTTTATAGTATGTTCATTCTACTCACTGAGGTTTATGCCTAAAGTCAGACATGGATTCTTGTGTATGTATATATCAGCTGTGCTTGCTATTGCAAATATTTAGACAAATTAAGTTCATTAGCAAATCAATTAAATGGAGGGGGGAATAGGCATAGAAAGCAATCATGAATACCAGAGACAATGGGAGGAGGGTTGGACAGGGCAGAGGGTTAGGGATAGGGAATCAAGGATGGCAAAAAAACAAACAAACAAACAAACAAAAAAACGCAAAATATACAAGACATAAGAAATGAAAAACTGTTTGTTGATAACATGTATGTTGATGTGCTTGATTGAGCTAACGGACAGTGTATTTTGGATGAAAAATTCATTTTGTATACTGTAATGATGTATAGTGTATTAATGTTAAAAAAGAAATAAATTAATAAATTTTTAAAATTTAAAAAATAAATAAATAAATAAAACTCTAAAATTTACCTTTTAAATTAATTGACTATTTGGAAATAACCATGCCTTTTGTCCATAGGAATTTTTCCTGTCTGACTTTCCTAGAAACCTGAAGATGCCTCCTCATGAATAAAAATAAATTAAAAACGCTAACACTAACACAAACGCTATCGCTAACACAAACGCTATCGCTAAACGCTAACGCAAACACTATCGCTAACGCAAACGCTAACGCAAACGCTATCGCTAACGCAAACGCTATCGCTAACGCTAATGCTAACGCAAACACTAACGCTATAGCTAACGCCCCAAATTGTCTGGGTGGCTCAAGTTGTGGCACAAGTTGTTTGGCTCAGGCTGCCTGTGTCCACTGTTAAAGAAAGAAAGAAAGAAAATCTATTAAATCAAGGTGCAAAGGACTTGACATAAATGTTCCCTACTCTGGGATGTTTATGGGACAAATATTGAAAATTAATAGCAGACTATTTCCTTATTGAGTTTTGCTTTTCTGCTTTTTGCTTTTCTGCTTTCCTGGAATATAATCATAAAGCCAAATATGGCAAATTTATACTGGTAAATCACATTCTGTCAAATTACATTATTTCTTTATACTCCACAGGGATATTTCAATGATTATTTCAGAAGATGAGGACTCAAAGAAAATAATGCAATGTTTAAATCCTTAAGAAGTCTTTTTTTTCATGTTTCACAATTTTTTTAGAGAGATTTTTGCTATGCACACGCCAGAGAGACAGAGACAGAAGGCAAGAAATCATCATTCACGAGGGGGCAATGGTCACACCACAATCCCTTCCCCTCCATTCTCCTCTCAGGATCCTAGACATGCCCGCACATGTGCCCGGTGTGAGTTTTAAGCCGCCAGGTCTGAGACGCAAACTGCAGTCAGCCATGTGGGAGTCTAGCAACGTAACCACTATGCCATCTTCTGGTCCTCATGCTTCATAATTTTAATAGACTATTCTAACTATTCTGTACAAATTGAGAACTCTGTATTTGGTTACGAATGTGTTACAAGGTAAGGCTGAGCCTTCTCTGTATGCCTGATTACAGTGTAGACACAGCAGTCACCAGCTGTCACACACTTGGAAACCTTACTCTCCAGCTGACAATTGGATACACCAAACCCAGGGCTTTTAAGACAGAGTGAATGGTGGGACCTAGAAATGGGAGTTACAGAGAAGCGAGACCTGACGCTCACACACTGAATTTAAAAGGCTTCTCAACAGCCACCGCAGTATTGAGCTCCATAGAGACAGCACCGGAGCAAAGATAACTAACCATGGGCAAAGGAGATCATAAGAAGCTGAGAGGCAAAATGTCATCAAATGTATTCTTTGTGCAAACTTGCCGGGAGGAGCACAAGAAGAAGCACCCAGTTGCTTCAGTCAACCTCTCAGAGTTTTCTGAGAAGTACTCAGAGAGGTGGAAGACCCATGTCTGCTAAAGAGAAAGGAAAGTTTGGGAACCAGCAGTTAGTGTAATGGCTATGTCGCTGGACTCCCACATAGTCGACCGCGGTTCGCGTCCCAGACCTGGTGGCTTAAAAAACTCTTAAAAAACTCACGCCGGGCATGTGTGTGTGCGTGCCCAAGATGCCAAGAGAATGAAGGAGAAGGGACGGCAGCATGACTATCCCCCCTGGGGGTGATTTCTCGCTTTCTGTCTCTCTGTCTCTCTCTGTCAGGCGAGCGCACACACCCTAATAGCGAAAATCTCTCCAAAAAAAAAAAAAAAGAGAAAAAGGAAAGTTTGAAGATATGGCAAAGACGGGCAAGGCCTGTTACGAAAGAGAAATGAAAACTTACATCCCTCCTAAAGGGGAAACAAAAATGAAGTACCCTAATAGCGAAAATCTCTCCAAAAAAAAAAAAAAAGAGAAAAAGGAAAGTTTGAAGATATGGCAAAGACGGGCAAGGCCTGTTACGAAAGAGAAATGAAAACTTACATCCCTCCTAAAGGGGAAACAAAAATGAAGTTCAAGGAACCCAATGCACCCAAGAGGCCTCCTTTGGCCTTTTTTTGTTCTGAGACAGAGAAAGAGAGAGCAAGAAACAAACAAACAACTAGACCAAGAGTCTGCAAAATACACCCATAGGCCAAATCTGTCCACAGCATTTTTAAAACCTCTTTTTAAAATATTTATTTATTGGGAACCAGCAGTTAGCATAATGGCTATGTCGCTGGACTCCCACATAGTCGACCGCGGTTCGTGTCCCAGACCTGGTGGCTTAAAACTCACGCCGGGCGTGTGTGCGTGCGTGCCCAAGATCCCGAGAGGAGAATGGAGGAGAAGGGATTGCGGCGTGACCATCCCCTCTGGGGGGGTGATTTCTCGCTTTCTGTCTCTATGTCTCTCTCTGTCTGTCTGGCAAGTGCACGTGCCCTATAGCAAAAAAACCTCTCCAAAAAAAATTTATTTATTCAATTGTATTATTACTATTATCATTATTATTTAATTGCTATAGGGCATATGCAACTTACCAAAGAGAGAGAAAGTAAGAAAGCAAGCCACCAAGTCTGGGACTCAAACCATGGTCCGCTATGTGGGAGTCCAGCACCTTAACCACCATGTCACCTGCTGGCCCCTCACTGCCTATTTCTTCAAACGATGTTTTATTGAACACAATCACACTCATTTATTTATAAAACGTTTCTGACTACATTAGGGCCACAATTGACAGAGTTAGTATCTGTGAGTGAGCGCATCTAGCCTGCAAAGTCTAAAATACTTACTCTCCGGCCCTTTACACAAAGTCTGCTGACTCCTGAACTAAATTGCTAGACCACAAGTCCTTGAAGGCCTGGATCAAGTGTGCCCTGCTCACAGCTTTATCTCGGACACACACCACAGGACTTGAAACTCAAACAGCTGCTGACTGAATGCCTTCCGTGCATGATACACATTCCAAACCCTGATCACCATGACTCCCTCTTGCTGTTCAGGCTATCTAAAGAGTATCCTATAAGAAATAATTCAGTAATGAATAACCTATCAGCAATCTATGCATGGGGAACATGATTTCTCTACGGCCAGCATTTCTACATTTACTTAAAACTATAGCATATGAATCTTTTCAAATCAAATTGTGGTGCATTCAACAATTATTTTAGTATTTTTTAAAGAATTATTTATTTGTTTCCTTTTGTTGTTATTATTTTTCTTTAATTTGAGCAGAGACAGAGAAAGAGAGAAAGAGAAAGTGAGAAAGTAAGTCACCAGGTCTGGGACTCAAACTGCAGTCAGCCATGTGGGAATCCAGCACTTTTAACCACCATGCCACCTGCTGGCCCTGTTTTAGTATCTATTATGTGCCCAAATATGCAAATCCCTAGTGTGACATGGAGAATGGGATTGGAAGTCACAGTCTCTATGGCCAAAAAGCTTAAGAAAGCTAGTCAGAGAGGACCAGCAGTTGGCATAATGGCTATGTCACTGGACTCCCATGTAGTCGACCACGGTTCAAGTTCCAGACCTGGTGGCTTAAACTCACACTGGGCACGTGTGCATGTGTGCGTGTCCAAGATCCCGAGAGGATAATGGAGAAGGGACTGCAGTGTGGCCATCTCCCTTGGGGGGTGATTTCTTGTTTTCTGTCTCTCTGGCAAGCGCATGCGCCCTATAGCAAAAACCTCTCCCCAAAAAAAGAAAGCTAGTCAGGGGGAATGGTAGGTAAAAAAAAGAATCGTACTGTGGTATGATGTGTGGGGTAAGAAGGGCATGGGCAGAAAGCTGTGCAAACACAAGGAGCAGTGGTTCTGCAGGATCTGC